TTTGGCTGAATCCGAATCTGAAGATTTGATGCTGATTCAGAGAATCAGCGATTTGGCCATAGACATAGCTTTAAATGTTTTTTCTATGCACCTTGAGGTACCAGGCATGGCTTGTAAATGCTGCAATGCTGGGGCAGATGGAGCATCCCATAGAAGCATGCCTCCCTCCACCCCCCATGTGCTCGGCAGTGAACCCAGAAGTGGACTGGAAGTACTTCCGGTTCACTTCCAGATCTGCCAGGGAGCATGCTGGAGGCCCCCCCTGCCCCCCACAGCTCAGTGATTGGCCATGCGGGAACCTAGGTGCCCCCCCAGAGCCAGAAGGCACCAGTCACCAAGCCAGGGGGGTGCTGGGGGGGGAGGGCAGCATGCTCTCCAGCAGACCTGGAAGTGGACCAGAACTGCTTCTGGTCCACTTCTGGGTCTGCTTCCAAGCATGCTGGGGACCCCCCCACACGCTCCTGTGGGATGCTCTATCCACCCCACCATATCAGCATTCACAAGCCACTTGGTACCTTGAGGTATGTAGAAAAAAAACATTTAAAGCTGTGTCTATATCCAAATCACTGAATCTTTCTGAATCTCTCTGAATCAATTTGGAGGGTTCCAATTCGAGTTGGCGAGATTAAAGGATCTCCTGATTTGATTTGGATTTGGAGATTTGGCTGCCAGATCAAGTCGAATCTCCGCTGAATCGAATCAGGGATCGAAGCTTCGCAGAGCCCTCTTAGCTAGCATAGCTGCAGCTGCTGCCAGAGGACCACCTGCCACTACAGCCCTTTGTCCCTTCTGCTTCCCAGGATGCAGGACCTACTTGTTACACCTCTGCTGCAAGCCCCAAGGAAGCTAAAAAGGGAGTCTTCAATGGACTAAAATGTTATTATTTAATAGAATGCAATTAAATTAATTCAGTACTTGTTTAATTTTATGTAACAAAGGCTGGGTTTAAAACTGGAGCTAAGCAAGAGTTGTAAATTAAGGCCCCTTAGTGTGCAATATTACGTTTCAAGAAAATTGGTTCAAATTGGGTTACCGCAGAACTGAACAGTTAACTAGTTCTCAGCAGAGTGGGGACCTTGTTGGATGGGACACTTAATGTGTGTTGAAGTTAGAACATGTTAAAGTTATAGCATGTTCTGAGCAATCCCAGAGTAACACTTACTACAATCTCATAACATGCACAGTTTACACAAGGAGAGAGCTGTGCATGCTTTATTTCAATTACCAGAACCTGCAGTTGCCCCTTACCAGATCTGGTTGGAGGTTATGGTGTGGGGCTGACAATCAGCTGATTTTCAATCTCAGGCACAGGACCACACCAGAGCAAGGTCTAGACTCCTGTGTAGTTGTGGGGGTGGGATCAACAATCTACTGATTGTGAGCCTCTGCCCCAGGACCATAACTGATAGCATTATCTCTGTGGAGGAATCTGATGTTAGCTCAACACACAATCCTTAATATGATCTAGAGACAGTCCTCACTGGAAAAGACAGAACTTACTTTGTTACAGTATGATATAATATGAGTGCACTCAGCACATTATCCTTCTTGAAAGTGCAAACACTTGCAAGTTAAGTACATTTAACGCATACTAAGTACCCTAAGCAACATGGCCCTGGGTGGATCAGCCAGTAATGCTACAGGTATATTTTACCTTGTTCATCACTGTGATACCAAAGTGCCTCACAACCCTATTTAAAGGATTCTATGAACAGATCTCATATAGTGCTGATGTTTCTCTTCTCTCTCTCCCCCCAGCAGAAGAGATTTTTTCCTTTCTGTCCTCATTCTTCTCTACAACATAATGAAAACAATAGAAATAGAGACAATTAAAAGGAAAAGGAATGATCATTACTACAGGAGAAAGCAATAGCTGATGGCCTGCAGTCATCCTAAATTCTGACAAGGGGAATCGTGTAGGATCGGGCTGGCTGATAAAAAGCATCTCCAGCTTCTATTAGTCTTTAACCTAACTCTTGACACTTTCAGGCAGTATTAGAGATGACTAGGAATTAAAAGTCTTGTATATGAAAATGGTACTATATTAATATGAGTATGATATGGGTTTATTCAGTATATCTGCTCTACTGTGTGCTGAAGCAGCCTGAAATCGGAATGTGACACTACTTGAAGAAACAAAAAACATACACAAACAAAAGCAAGAAAGCGTGCAAAGTAAAGGTGTCTTAATTAAGTTCCAAGATCAACAATACAACCTGTAAGAGAACATCTGTCCAGTATCAGGGGAAATTTTGGTGCAACTAATCTCTAAAGTATTAGAAATTTTTCACTTACTATAGGAAGTAAGCAAACAGTATGTTTAGGGCGCAAACCTGCAGCCCTTATTCCTGATGATTTTTACAGTTGTTTTCCCAGCATAAGGATTCACAAGGATCCTTAAAAACAGTGCTCAAAACATTAGGGTCTGCACCACCATCCTTTTTCTTCCTTGTGCTGCTTAGACTTCATTGCCTGACAGAACCCATTGAATTGTGTTATGGCTCTAGATCTTCTCTATTTTGTTTCCTTTTGAACATGTGATTTATGAACCTGTCAAAGACAAAGCCTGATTCTTCAGTGTATTACATTTTATGTTGTCACTAGCAAAATGGCTGTCATAAATGGTTGTGGGGGGCGAAGCAGGGATGGAGACCTGTGTCCGGCCCCATGCTCTCCCCCCGCCATTCCAGGTCCAGCCTCACTTCCCCTCCGCTGCCATTGCTGTGGGTCCTGCCCTGTTCCTCCTCCCACAACCACCACCATTCCGGATCGTGCCCCACTCCCTCTGCTGCTCTGGGTCCAGCCCAGCTTCACCACCCCTGTCCACTGCTCCACATGTGGGGGGACATGGCGCACGACTGTGAGGTGTGCCACAGGGAGCGGCCACAGCACAGAGAGGAGTATTCACTGGCTGTGGGGTGAGGGTAGCTGCCCTGGAGTGTGGTCACATGCTGCAGCTGGCAGAGTCTGCTTGCCCACCCTGTGCCCTGCGCAGCACCCTGCAGTCATGCACTAGGCCCCTGCCCCTGTACCATGCCCCCACACAGCCACACACCACACCTCTCTGCAGGGCCACAAGCCACACCCCCTCTCCTCTCGCCTCCATGCTGTGGAGCACACCCTGGCCTCCACCTGTGTGTCTCTGTGTCAGTAACTCTCTGGGTGGCACACGTGCAATTGGCCCAGAGTGTTATGGACAGATAGACACACCGCCAGAAATGCTATGGTTTTTATTATATTAGCATTCCCAGCTGTATGGAGAGCAACGTGAGGATTAAAACACTCCTGTTCAATTGCAATGACATATACGGGTACATGTCTTCAGAAAAAGTACAAATCAGACCTCTTGCCACACTCTTAGGAGATTGGTATCATTGTCCCAACATTGTACTGCTGCTTTGCTTATCTATTGGTTGTATGCTTTTATCTATAGAGTGTTTGAGAATGAAACACTTTGTTATTTTTGTTTACTCCTGGGTCTATTGCCTATCTTGATCTTTATCACTATGTAGAAACAACAGGAATAAAATGACAGCAAGGGAACTGCATATTCAATTACTTCACTAACATTACAGCTGTGCAGAGGAAACAGAAAAAAAAAAATCTTTTAAGCACCATGAAATTCTGTCAGTTGATATGACAGAGTTTTGGAGGACTACATTGCCCATTTTTTATGCACATACATCTGTATAGTTGATATTTTTATGATCTCATATCCATTCATTATATTCATGTCTTTATTGAGAATGCTCTTTAGGATGTCTTGTCTAGCACATTCAAGAGCTGCAAAACAAATTATAATATATACTTATAAATCCCATACATGAGATTGGAATTTGAGATGAAAGTGGCAAAGCCACAAGTGAGTCATTCAGATGACCTCGAAGAAATGAAATACTACACATCATTATGTGCATTATATGCAGTCCATATATGCACATCATTACATATTCCATATATGTCATCTTTTGGACTACTCTTCTATGCTCTCTTTCCCACTAGTGTCTTATTTTTCTTTAGTTATGCCCATGCCAAATTTCATGAAAATTTTGTTTACAACAGTAACATAGTAACTGTTCTGTTCATTCCGGATGACCTCCAAGACCTTTTGGTTAATATACAGGTATCTAATACTCTCCATAGCTTTACTTTTGTCATTACATTTTTAGGGGCTTCTTGTGGGTTTTTTTCCACTGTCTGCCAGGATTTTTAACAGTTTATTATTTGTTTCTATTGCTGAGAGTATCCCTCTGTGTTTCTGAGAGTTGGATTTCTCTCTCAAGTAAGGGGAGTGTATTTTTCAGTTTTTAAAGCATCTTACTGTATAATGTTTGGTTTAGGAGTTGAATTGATGTTTAAATGGAATCCCTTTTTGCAGTAGATTTCTGTCCTACTGCGGGCTTCTATGGTTTCTCTTGGTTCTCTCTTTTTAAGTTAGGGCAGAAAGGTTTTGAAAAAAAGTGTGTAGTTTCTGGCCTTTTAGTATAAGCTATGGATGTTCTCCTTCTGGCTTTTTAAATAATTAAACCCTTCTTCTGATAATAATGTTATTCCACACTCAGATTCTCTTGTCTGTTAGGAGGCTTAAGCAGAGGGAACTGTACTTATTCATTCTGATCACTTTTACCTATTTTAGACAACTAACATTTAATAATCCTGCAATTAAAATGTTTAGAACCCAATTGTGTTTTCAGGATTTTCAGGGAACTTCTTGATTCTTTTGCTCAGTGCTGTATGTCATTTCTCTCTGCTCCAAGAACACCATCTATAGCTGGATGAATAACACAGGGCCTTCTGTGGGCCAAATCTGCACACAGAGGTTAATCTAGGGGTCTGATCCAGCACCAGCCTGACCCCACATGCCAGATCCATCTGTGTACAGGCCTGACCCCGTGTGTATTGGGCACAACCTAGCACATGGGCTCATGTCATGGGATTCCCCATTGGTCCAAACATTTGGCAGCAGGGAAAAGCAATTAATCCTGCTACTGCTTCCCTACCTTCAAATTTCCAGTGACATGGCTTTGCAGGCCAGAGGTTGAGTAGCACAGGTCTATGCAGCTCTGTCTTCCTGTTTGTCACTTGTTTCTCCTAGGGCCAGTTTTTAGAAAAGCGATTTAATCTTCCAAGTCAACAATTTTTTGCTTATCTGCTGGAATCTTGGAAGTTAGATCATTTCTCATAGCCTTAAAAAAAAAAAAAAAAATCAGAAGGTTGAAACTAATGCTGATATTCTTAGGATTGGTCTTTTCCACCTGATTTTGGCTTCCTTGTGTCAAAAAGGACATCCACACACTGTGAGACTGGTGCATTTTTTAATGAACATTTTTATTGTTACTTGGAGTCCTCTGCAGGCTTGGGCATGGGATTAAAAGAAAGCAATGAATGCAGTTTAGTTCACCATTCCTTCAGAGATGAGGTTTGGGGGATCTGTTTCATTCCACACAAAATTTGGACTTTTTATTAGGAAGGACTACTTGGCAGGGAGGGAAAGTCCTTTCCTTGACAGGATTTACTTTTAACAACAAGAAAAAACAAGCAGCAGCTGTTTGCAGCTGCTCAGGGGTTTTGAATGTCAGAGCAAGTCCCAGGGGAAATTGATTAGTGGCCACACTGCAGGTGAGGGGCAAAGGTGCATGATGAATTGCACTGCGAGGCTATACAATACCTCACATAGATGTCACCTCTGCATGCACAATCTTATACACATTTGCACTACACACACGCGCGCGCACACACACACACACTTTATCATGGCAGACATCCAGTCAAAGGGGACTTTAACCCAGCATAACCTCTGTACAAACCCGGTTTGAAATCTAAGTACCTTTTTAGTAGTTGTCCTCCAATCCCATTCGTATTCTCTATTGTTACACAGTTGTATAACCTAAGAGTCTATCATAGTACATGTTTTAAAGCAATTACTAGGAAACCTGTGCCTAGAAGCAATAGGACCTGACACCCTTTAAACAAAACTTGCTTTACAAATCAAATTAATATGGTGAATGCTGTTATATTACTTTTGCTATCAGTGCATATCCTACAGTTACTTGGCAACAAAGCAAGATTAGACATACTAAGCATTTGCTCTGCAGAAACGCTACCAAAGCTAGAACTTATGCAACCATACATTTATTCTCAGTTGCACAGAAAACTTTGCATTTGTAGTTTAAAAAAAAATAAAAAGAAAGAAAAAATAAACCTAAATGATGATAAAAACTGAAATCAAGCCCCAAACACTGGAAATATTACTGAAAATAATGCTGCTAAAGTAAGAGACCCAGCCCACATGATTTTTAACCAATCAAACTACCCACTTACATTCTTTATAGCAGAAGCAAACTGTCAAGAAAACCAAAACCACAGTTACCAGTCAAATCCAACTGAATATTTGCTTTGCAGGTTTTCCATTGGGAAGCCAACATATTTTCATCTATCCACTTAAGGTTTTATTTGGAACAGTTCTTTGTTTCTGTCCCTCAAGCATACACAGCTTTGGTGAATTTTACAAAATAAGGAGATTAATCTTAATTAGACTGATTACATAATTTGCCCAAACCATAGGACCACAAATTCATGAGAATTCTCACCAGACGTGATTTAATCCAATCATTAAACAAATCAGAGACCTGCAAAGGAAATCTATATATAAAAGAAAACACTCTGGTGAGAAAATTGTGACCCTTACTTTCCGATTTGGATCTGGACGCTGTCATTTGTGCTTTCATAACCTCCAGGTTAGGCTATGGCAGTGCTCTTGATGATCATCCAGAAGCAGTAGTTGGTGCAGGACACAGTGCCCTGCTTTCTGACAGGAGCATGTTACTCCAGTGTGCCATAGTCTGTAATGACTTCAGTAGATTTCAGGGTGTAATACAAAGTGTTGGTTTTGACTTAAGGCCATAAACAATCTGGGCCCTACGTCTCTAAGGAACCACCTCTTCCCTCATATTCCATCACTATCCCTGAGGTTGAGAGCAGCTTCCTACAAGTACCATTTGTGCTCCAAATTAATTTGGCAAAACCATGCGGGAGTTTGTTCTCGGTATGGTTCCTGAGCTCTAGAACTTCTTCTCCCTTGTAGTCCCTTCAGAACTGAAGCCTGGATATCTTCCAGAAGCACTCTGAGACTTTTGCACTTGAGTAGGCCTTGGCCAGCAGGAGTTAAGTGTTAGGGCACTGCCTTGGAGTTTGTTCTATTGCATGTTATTTTGTTTTATTATTTTTACCTGTCTTTATAACATATCTGGTTATTATTGTCATCCAACCTGGGGCTCTTTACAGGAAGGAAGAACATAAATATAACAAATAAATATATATGCTTTATTGGGCAGCAAAAAGGGTAAGTTTTATCGGTACAGGAGAACCACAAACAAGAGCTATGCAACACTGAGCATGTCTATGTTACTTCTGCACCACACCTGGAAGTACAGCAATGAAACATGCCCCACCTGCTTGTCTCAGCACTGTGCCAGTTTCCTAAACTGAGGGAATATATTTAGCTTAGGCCACTGAAAAAATGTTAATTTAAAAGTGTTATGGGATTGGATCCCCAATCCCAAAAATCATTCCTCCCGCCATGCCACATGTTCTTGGCAGGATGCACAATTTTGGGATCAGAGATCAGATCCCAGTTGTGCCCTACTTGCTGGTTCAGGGGTAGTTCAAGATCATGATCCCAGGTTCTCCCTGCACTGGCAAGTAGAAAGCCAGGTGCCTGGAGAACTTATAGAGACTGCTCAGGCTCCTGCTACTTTAAGAGTCTTAGGCCAGTTAACACCTGCAGACTCCCTAGCTGTGCGCACCCAAGGCTAGTACTAAGAACTCAAGACAAGAGTTCTTAGTACTAAGCTGTTGGACAAAAGGTGGATGGTACCTCCACAGCCATCATTCATGTTTTAGAGTGAACTGAGTGGTACTAGATACTCAGTACTGCTTCCAGTAAGGCATTTGAGTTTCAGTGGAATCTGGCTAAGGGAGATGGCTAAGATGATGCAAGGTCCCTTCCTTCAGCCATAGGAAGAATGAAAGTTAGAGATATTACTGTGGCCTAGTATTTCCTACTACAGATACTCTAGGCAGGTGTCAGTACTTTAACTATTGAGTGACTAAGTGATCTGGACTGCCCTTAGAAGGTACATAATTCTCCCAGTCACTGCATAGGAATCCCCGATCCCTCATCCAGTTACCCTCTCGGAGAAAAATACTTATAATTTAAGTGTTGTAACAAACACTTAGAAGCAGCTGATTCAGATATGATGTTAGGCACTTAGGAGTTAGTGAGACTTGGGGCATGTATACCCTCTTGTAGTAGTGCACTCCAGCTAGGACTTCCTATTTA